CTTCCTGGAAGCTGGGAAAAGTCTCGTTCGCGTTTATCGACTAAGGTAAACTCGTAATAGCCTCTAGCATCCTAAGTGCCGAACATATCAAACAGTACTGATAAACATGGTGTAAACAAACGGATTGGTAAAACAAGGATAGCATTTCTGCAACTGAAGAACATCTGGAACTCATATCAACTCTCAGTCAACATCAAAGTCACTACTTCCCAGTGAAAAACATCCAAACTTTTATTGTATTGTACGGAAAATTGATGAACTACAAAAGCCAGTAACAACCTATTATAAGAAATAATAAATCAGATTACAATTCAGGCAGAAATTAGTACCATCGCTAGAATTGAATAGGATAAACGTTATTGGAACCTCTCAAATGCACTGCGAGGCAAGCCCTAACTTGGAATTCTCAGGGTCAAAGGAAAAGTGGTTGGCGAAGGAACACACTTTATCGAGAATTGGAGATAGATATGAAAACAATGAACAGTAATTGGATAGAATTGGAAAGGAAGGCTCAGGAAATAGTTGGTTGGAAAATGCTGATCGATGGCCTATGCACTGTGAGAAGCAAGAGGAGTAAGTAAGTAAGTAAGTAAGTAAGTAAGTAATATGTATACACATCGGTAAGGGTTTGTCATGAAACATTCCAACAAATAAAATACACTCCATTTATTTACCTGAGAATATTTCGATATTGCTTCACTGCCCCATTTGAAACCGGCGGCAAGTAACCATGTCAATGCTAATATCACCCACCAAATTGATGCTGACATACTGAAAAAATAAATTAATAAAAATACCGCAGCACAACTAATTCTTCCAGTTATCGCATAACGTAATATTTTTGAACGTATCAATTGATGATTGATTGATTTGAACAAATCTGAAATGATAATATTACTACTAGTACTACTAGTACTAGTAGTTGTAGTAGTAATGGTAGTACTAGTAGTAATAACAGCGCCAGTAGTAGTAGTAGTAGTTAGTGTTGGTAATATTTTCATTGTTATATCTTTAGGGGTTATGATGGTTGTTGTACCGGGTAAACGGGTGACTGTTTGTAAATGTTCATTGGTTTTATCAAAATCATACCAATTATTATTATCATTATTATTATTATTATTAATAATATCATTACTAGTATGCGTATTGATTACATCATATGGATTGGATAAACTGTCACAGGCAATCGCTTGATGTCCCATAATGACACGTATTAAATAACCAATGGATATCATAAAATAACAAATAGTCAAATAAATCAATGGTAATTCTGGATATTGAAAACGATAAGAATCAATGAGAAATGTTAATATGGTAATGAGTGTAGATAGAGCACAACATATTGACCAGAGACCAAGCCAAAATGTTGTGAAATTGTATGATGAAGTATCCATTGTATAATATGGTGTATAACATGGCATAGAACAATCATTGATATCAGCTACGGTGATCTAAAACAAAAAAAAATATGAGAAACATTTTTATATTTACTATTTTATTTATTTAGAAGAAAGAATCGATTTGTATATGATGAGAAAAACGAATAGGAGGTGTATGACATTTTACAACACAACACAGCATGAATAAATCTTTGTCAATGGTTTATCAAGTCAGCAAGTTTTATAATACAATGGTGAAGATTGTTGAGTTTCATTGAAACCATGAATCGATCATATCCGTTTGCTGACTAAATGACGAGTGTACTATGCAGCAGTTTGCTCCGTCCTACTTTATGGTTGTGAAACATGGTCTGTAAGAGTAGAAGACATTCGTAGGTTATTAGTATTCGATTTTAAATGTCTTAGAAGTATTGCTCGTATATCCTAGGACAGAAGAGTAGGCAGTGCTATCGTTAGGAAACGAATACTTAATAAGGATGGCAAATCAATAGATGAAGCATTTAAACTTCACTACTTTAGGTGGCTGGGATATGTCCTACGAATGCCCAACCACCGACTGCCTTAGCGAGCGATGTTTTGTAATGAAGGAGTAGCCTGGAAGAAAGTTAGGGGGGCCAAACCAAAACATAGCAGAAATCCATGAAGTAACTGACATGTGGACTGAGTCATGTTGGTAGTTGTCGACTACCTGGTTGAGGTCCGTGAGATGATAATAATCGGTGGTTGGACACCTTGAATGACATGGCTCAAAATCGTTTGCCTTGGAGCAGGTGTATCTATTTTGTGTGTTCTCTCAAATTCTAACCTTTTGAATTCCTCATCACTTACATCTTTGTCCTTTTAAGTTTATTTCACTAGATTCTACCTCTCAAATAATATCCTCAAACCCTAATCTCTCCGAATACTGCTAATACTTCTACTACCTCAACTACTATGGGATTTGAATTGACAATTCCATCTCACTGTGCCAACTGGGTATGACAACTTGAACTGAGGTATGTATATAAGAAGTTCCACGTTGTAACTGACTGGCTAACATCACCAAACTTTATACTGATCTAAGTTAGACATTACCACCGTTGGATGCCGACTCACTGGTCTATATTTTTAATGTTCCAATAGCTTCTGAAGATCCTAGGTTCGACCCCTGGCTTAGTGGGTCGTAGGTGCGTACGGCTGATTAGTCCCATACTGGGACAAAACCACCGTCCAGTGCTTCCAGTTTTCTAATGGTGACGTAATAATGATAGATTATTGATTTCAAAGTAAAACAACAATGTAATACTTGTTATCAACCGGCCAACCAACCATCTTCGAATTTGTATTAGTACGCTTGTAATGCTATTTACTAGACACTGAAGGATGCGAATTATCTTTTTATTGAATTTTCTATACAATAAAACCAATCAGTCATGTACAAAATACATTTAGGGACCAAGACATTATTCACATACACTATGCACACACACTAAGCACGTACGCACGTACACACACTCAGATGACACAACATTGTGACAAGGAGCATAATCATTATTATTATTCATTAACTTTTCCCCAGTATTGTTTTAATGTATATTGGTGTTGTTGTTCATGGCCACCTGTAGTGTTCAATAATCAATGGTATTATACTGCGGTACGTTTTGGCTTGGTTTTAATTTACGAGCTTTTTCAATAACGTTTATCATTATGTTGTAATCATAAAAAATAATTTTTTTTAAAAAAAAGAAATTATTATTTAGTTCAATAAATAAATTCATACTTGAAACATTTTTTTTCTTGAAATTAAATACGACATACTTATTTTTTGGTTAACAATGATTATCATTATTATTATTATTACTATTTCATGTATGTATTACACATGCTGAGTTAATTTTTACTGGTTATTTTTCAGTGGTAATAACTGTGTATGTTACACACACTTTTAACTAACAATTACATTTTATTAGCAATGTACATTAATTTTAAATGTTGACTCTACCCTTGAAAAAAAAATGTTTTTCCAAATTTCATTTATAATCTAACAAATTTTTTAAATGATAAGTAATTGAAATGAAATAAATAAAAAGACAGCCTTCATTTTGGCAGTGATTTCTTGGTGACATTTTGCTGAAAACTACTTATCAGCCACTTTACGAGTAGTATACGTTGCAATAATGTATGATTCTTATTTGTTTCTGATAGACAGATTAGTTTTTTGATGGAAGCATACAGTTAAGTAGTAAACAACAGAAATTGTTTGTTATAATTGAAATCATTGAGAAAATCATTGTTAGACCACCATTAGAAGCACAGAAAGACGGCCGTTTCGTCCTGAAATAGGACTCATCAACAGTGTGCATCCATGACTCTTGTTACTCACAGGATTCGAACCTTGTATCTTCGGTCTGCCACGCGAACGCCTGACCCCTGAACTACTGAGCTGGTTTCCAGTGATGTTAATATCTAACTTTGATCAATCTAAGGATTTTGCGTGACCTCACTTATTGTCCTCGGTAGTTACTGCCTACATCCTACAGAGTTGAACTCCACTGGTCATGACTTTTCATTAGAAATCCGAGAATTTCCTCACGAAGCCAGTCACTAATGAGCACATTTCCTCCAGGTTTCTAATGGTGGTCTAACAGTGAGCGATTAACATTTAATTAATTCACAAAAATCTCCATAACTCTATAATGAAAAAACATAAATTACGTCAAATCACCAAATACATGATATTTGTAATAACTGATCACTAAAATCTAAAAAATTATGCTAACTTGTCTTGGGTCATGAACCTGTATTGCTTGAAAGAAACGGTCGTCTAATGCTTCCAGGATTCTAACAATGGTTAAACATTGATCGATCTACGATTTCGATCAATAAATAAGTTCAGTAAGAGTGATCTTTTTGAATTATCAAATGAGTTATTATGACTAGCCATATTTTTACATGAACCCTATTAACATTAAGAATTATTCGGGTAATTAATTACAGAGATTATTCCATTTCTACATAAAGTATTACACGACTTGGATAGGGTTGTGGTAAGGTCTTAAACTGAGATTAAGTAGTAAAATATGGAAGATCAAATTGGCTTATTGGTTCATTTAACAAATGAATCTCATTAACATACAAGATTGTCTGTTGAATTGATTTGTTAAAAATCTTCTTAAACTCCTAGTTACTTTAAAAGCCTCGTCATTGCAAACAAGTCATATTTGGAAAGGTCGGATATCATGCCTGACTTCTTAAGACATATGTGGTGCTTAAAACAAAATATCGCATGAATGTACAAATACAAATGTATGTCTACCTTCTAAAGATTGTTCAGACACATATTTTTACATAGCCCTTAATGTGATCATAAATGCTTGGTTAAATAAAAGAACAAAGCTTAGAATTTGGTAGCCAGTAGGTAAAGCATCCCGCGTCGGCATAGACAGTTACCCAGCGAACACAATCGGTAAGGTTGAGACATACCTTGGATTATTCAAAGTTAGGGATAAACCTCGTTGGATTCAGGCTCACAGGTCTAGAGGTTCAGCGTTCACACACGGAACCAGAGGTCCTGAGTTTGGTTTCTGCGGGTGGGGGATCGTCAATGCGCCCTGCTGATGAATAAGTTCCATACTAGGACGGGAGTGTCGTTCATTACACGCAGATAGTCTAACAATGTCTGATTCATCATTTCAAATGAAACTCAACAATCTTTACACAAAAACTAAACATATTTACAATATTTCACAAAAATAATTCAATCAATGTTTGCTTACTTTAGCATTAATATTCATTTCAGAATTTTTAATCTTGATCAATGGTGGTCGACAATCACATGTACATTTTAAATGTAAATTAGGAAATGTATTTTGTAATTTACGAATCTCTTCATGTTGTCGTATAGCTTTTTCAAATAAAATATTACTAGCATTTTCATTGAATTGTTTCTTCAATTGTACATCTTCTTCTGACAATGATAATGTTTCCATTGGATCATATCGATCAGTGATGATTTGTAAATTCGATGTGATTTGTATGCCTTTAGCTGATGATTCATCGAAATGACCAACTGACATTTGATTGGTTGATTTCAATGGTACATGATTTTTAACATTGTTGTTTAATGATTGAAGTTCTAATTGTTCTTCTTGAGTTAAATTACGTTCCATGCATAAAATACCTTGAGGATTATTATATTCGGGAAATTGTTCACAATTCATACGTTCTGGCCATGGAAATTCATAATGTTCCATAATTGGTGAACAACCGGCTTTAACACGTTCACATACTGAACGACATGGTGGTAAAAAGTGTGGATAACCTTTAATACAAATTGGTGTATAAATTGAACATAATAAAAATCGTAAATCTTTGGAACAATTAATTTGAACTAATGGATAGAATTGATGAGCCTGCAAAAAGAAATTAGAGACAATGATTTTTTTTGAAAAAAAATACACTTACAGATATTCTGTAAATTATAAACTGAATACAAGAAAGTTCGTTAAATCAAAATTAGAATGATATATATCCGAGACTCCCACATGTGGGAATCGAACCTAGGTGTTTCGGTCTTGCAAGTGAACGCTTAACCTCTGGAAGATTGAATCAGTATCCAACGGTGTCAGTATCTAACTTTATTTTAATTTAGAGTATTGAGTGGCCTTACCAGTTACCTAAACCCGACACCGTTGAAATCCACTGATTGCGGCTTCAACAATTCAGCAAATTCAACTCTGGTGAGCAATGTGTTCTTAGATTTGGTAATTTACTCGTTCAGACAATCGTTATTAAATAACTCTTGACGGTTTATAAATCAGAAGGTAAACACGGAGGGTTGAATAAGGTTATAATCGTACACCACAAATATAACAGCAGACCACAGACATGAAATTGATATGCGAGTGCCGTAAGGCAAGCGGACAAGCAAATAAGCGAATGAGTGAATCGGCGAATGAATTAATCAGATTAGAATGTACATACGTCTACATAGGAAAATGTCTGAGTCATCGAAATATTTAAGAGACTAATATTAAAGCGAATAGAATGAATATGCGCGTATGCGCGGTAAGCAATGTTCAGTTGTAACCAGCTCATACAAACCAAACAATGATAAAAGCACAAGTATACATATAAGCTGTTGCTATACGAATGACTCAGTTAAAATAAGTTAATCTAAAGGCTTAACCAAATTTAACATAAGCGAACTCAAATGTATCTGGAGGTACTATACAACAATCTCCATAACTTCATAACGAGAATTATGATATATGTTCACTAGGGACTAGATAGACAATAGTTGAAAAATATCACATATTAGTATAGTAACTTAGCTTAAGATTTATGGTATTTGTTCAAGATATAGATTGTAATCTTTGCATAATTGCTTTTTTCAGCAAATTATGCAATGAACAAACTTGACTTTTTAATTGAAGCTGAACAACAACGTGGAGAAATTTGTGCTGATGATGTTGTTCAGTAGAAGAACAATAAAAGCTGCACAACCAATAAATTCAGTTTAGAGAACGAAACATCACCATAAACAACTTATCATCAGAAGCCCCAAATGTATATTTCCATGTTGGAAAGCACTTGTCATAAAAATGTTATTGCGATATTGAATATAGTAATGTACACCATTTAACGTGATCTATGAACTTCTGACAAAACGAATGACATAAAAGCTGTGATAGTAATTATTGATATTACTGACGAATCTGTGTACATATACCAGTCAGAAAAGAGTTCACATAGGAGTATTGAAAACTGAATGCTAACTATTCTAACTAAGATTCTGTTTAACGCGTGTTAGAATCCCATATAGAGTACTAACCTAATGATAGCTTAAAATACACCATGTCAGAGAAAATAAGCATCCCAGTCTAAAATGATCAGTACTACATTATTTGGCTACAGCTTGATTACAACTCCCTAGTCCTCTTTATATCTCATGTTATATTTTGCCTAGTTTTCATCAAAAACTCTTGAAATATTTCCATAAAAAGTTGACAGTGTGTAAAATGTATGTTTTATCCTAAAAAGATATTATAAATAGTAATATAAAAGCTGCCAAAAATATTTGAAAAAAATGGAAGTTGACTCTTAAAATGAGTAAAACTAACTGACGAAGAAAAATATTTCCTTCTAGTACAAATCAGCTTTTTACACAATGAACTCATGAATCAACCATTGTTAAACCAGCATTAGAAACATCGAAGCACCTGATAACAGTTTCGTCCTGTTATGGGACTCATCAAGAGTGCACATCCAAGAGTCCCACTATTCGAACCCAGTATCTTCAACCACTGGCCTGGAATCCAACGGTGTTAATGTCTAACTCTGGTCAATCAAAGGATTTTAGACAACCTCACCCATTGTCTTCAATGAGTAACTCCCTACAGGGTTGAACTCCACTTGATCACAACTTCTAATTAGAACTCCGAGAATCCCTTCACCAATCTAGTCACTAGTGAACACATTTTTTGATTTTAATTCAAAGTATAAGGGAGTATTATGCAAAAAAATCATCTGAACCCATACATATGTATACACTTCTACTACACACATACAACCTAACTGTCAATCAACAAAACAATAATAATAATAATAATAATAATAATAATAATTGAAAATTGAAAATTGAAATGAGAACAATTTCAAGTTAATCAGTTTATGATTGTTTTCTTCGCCTGTTTTTCATTGTTGTTCTAACCATACATCCACACACCCACACACACACACATACACACAATGTTCTTTCCATTGTAAATATAAGAACAATTAATCGTCTGGTCTTTCTTTACTGTCTATTAAACCCTATTCTGAAACATACCCTCACATCAACCATGTTCAATGATGTTCAATGTATTCAACAATTGATGTGCAAAGAAAATTGGGTTTTGTTTTATTGAGAAAAATGTTGAGACATATATATATACACTATTTAAATGTTTATGAGGTAATTTGAGAGAAAAATAAAGGAAGTAACTAAAGCTTTTCTCAGAGAATAATTGTCATATTATTAATATTATTTTAAGTAGTATGTTAATAGTTAAAACAGACTGAAAATGGAAGGGACTGAAAAAAAATGGTGTTTTTTGTTACACAGAAATATGCTACTGTAATTGAATTAATTCTACAGAAATATTTATTTATTTATTTGTAGCAAAAATATTTATATAATTGTATACATTATTTAGTAATATAATGAATTAAACAGAAATTTTTTTCGTGAATGTGAATTTGTATGCTCACGGTCACTTTTTGCAGTAAACATAACAACGCAGTGCATTAAAACACCTATATAGATAACTTTTCCATGAATTCTTAAAGCACACTACCATGATGTCTGCACACAGCTAATCATATCTTTCTGAGAAATGTCAATCAATATAACAGTTATAAAGATTAACTTTCAATAGTGATGTGAAATCAATGATTGGCTGTTTGTAGTGTTCTTCAGTAAACTAGTAACTAAAATATTCTGGTTTATTGTTTAACAGAATTCATTAATCCCAGTCAAAAGGAAATAAGTTTACATTGTAGTCTGTTAGTCAGTCGGGTAATGTAGTTGGTGGAGATTGTTAAATTTTACTGACAAGACGAATAGGTCTGAGTCTGGCAATCACTTAAATTCAGGGAGAATTGAACATTGGTTTGGAAATCCCATTACTTAAGGTTCTTTACTAGGATTTAGAGGAAATACTTTTATAAGTTCCTTACTGAAGAATGTATGACTATTAGTACTCTTTATTGCTGAAAGCATAAATCAATGACTATTAGACCATCACTGGAAAGCTAGAAGCACTGGATGGCCATTCCAACTTGGTATGAGACTTATCAGCAGTGCACACCCACGACTACTGCTACATGCAGGATTCGAACTCAGGACCGTTGGTCTTGTGTGAAAACGCCTAATCTCTAGACTAGTAGGCCGACATTCAGTAGTATTGACCTCTAACTCTGATCAAGCATAGGTTTACAGTAGCTCTCTTTCGAAGCCTATAAACTTCTAAAATCATCCATCTGTATATTAATGAGGTGATTCAAGTTAAGAAAGTGTAACTGAACAATTAAGCAATCTTGCAAAATTAGAAACTAACAATAGTAAACATTTGATTGAATAATTAATATTAATAGGACCATTTATAAATATATAAAAATCAATGAAACTAAACAGAAGAGATGACTACTTGAATCACTAATCAATCATTGTCAGACAACCATTAAAAGCCCGGAAGTATTGGACAGTCGTTTCGTTCCGGCATAGGACTCATCCACAGTGCACATCCTCCATTTCCACCACTCACAGCAATCGAACCCAGAAACTTCCATCTTGCACGCAAACGCTCAACCTCTGGACCACTGAACCGGAATCTAACAGTGTTAGTATCTAATATTGATCAATCTAAGAATTTTGACAAACCCAACCCATTTGTCTTTGCTAGTTCTCATGACAAACTTATGCAGATTACGGTCTATTACTAAAATCATAAATGATCGAAAACTAGTACATCCACTATGTAACTAACTGTTTTGGTTATTTCAGTTGACAAAAAAACCAAATCAAATAAATTTTAATTTCATTTTCGTTTAAATCCTCCACCCAAATATTGTTTGTTACATCTGATTACATTTTAAAAAATGTACTCTTCTGTAATAAATTAAAATTGAAGTGAAAAAAAGAGAAGAGAAGAGATGAATTGATTGTGTTGCTTATTATGAATTTTCATAAAATTTTTTTTTTATTTTATCACTTAATAATCTTTTTAACATTATTGTGATAGACATTTTCACCTATTGGATAAACTGTTTTTTTTTAATATTTCTCGCTTCTTTTTATTTAGCTGTAGGTTTGCTATTGTCGTTGTTGGGTTGTGTTGTGTTGTAGTTGTTGTTTTAATTTTTTAATTTCAATGTTCAATTATTCCCATGAAAACTTTTCATTTATCAATCTTGTTCGTATCTTATGTAACTATCAACACATGAAATTGTCATATGAAGCAGAAAGCAAATAAATACAAATGTGTAAGTTAATGAAAAAAAAACATTTATAGTAATGTAATAGTTTTCAACTAAAATTGTGTATATACATCTTTTTTTAATGAATTTGAAGGTCACACAGATTGTTAAAATGGCGCCAGTTTAGTTTTGAAAAGCATATTTCATAGTGATTATAGATTATTAATGTTTTTTGAATGACTAGTTTTTTTCGAAATTT